GATGTATGCATTGTACCGTATGAGTGACAAGCAAAAAACATGGAAAGCAAAGGTGTGCTCAAAGCATTGCAGTTCAAAATCTTTTGCAAGTTCGTAGGCGATATCTGCCCTTCTGCTAGAGGGACGGATGGACATGCTTAAATCAATTCAGAATTTGATTCAGATGAAAAATATATATATATACAATAGACGGGTTGAACGGTTTGACAAAATAAATACGCTCCCCTAGCGGTTGTGATGGCCGACATTAAGACAGAAAACGCGGATTCCGTTCCCGGTGCGATGGATCAAAATTGTCCTTTACTACACGTGTACGGTGTGTATATTTTGAAATCATCGTTTTTTATCCCCTTCTTCCGGATACGATTCTGAAACTGTTTTTTTTTTTTTATGTATTTTTAGAGACCCTGAAGCTTTTTTTAATAGCTCATATCTAAGAACGGTTCTTAATTACGCTTAGAGAGATTAAAATTAAAAAATCCATTCTGTAAACAAATTGACGATTCATCTATGCGAATAAACAGATAATCCTTTGTGTGTGAGGTCATCGTTTCTGTTCGATTGCATAACAAAAACAAGAAAATCGTTTCAATGAATGGATAGATTTTCCTATTGAATTAATTAATTACACTTGCAAACAAGTGAGTATCAATTTTTTCTTATTTATTTAGCCGGAATTTGATCAGTCAGAATGCTTGAATTGATTTCTAATTAGTTTAATCAACTTTCTATTGCAACGAATCAAGAGCTGTTGGGCTTTTAATAACACATAATAATATTACATATTATGTACATACGTTGAGTAGATGAAATCTATTCCATACTATTCATTTTCTATTATCTCATACAAATTCAGTTTGTATTAAGCATTAGAGCTCTTTTGTGCAAACCATGTACTTTGAATGATAACATTTTTAATAAAAAAAAGGAATGAATCTTTCCAACAATATTATTTTGAATGATTCAACATGTGAAATATTAAAATAAAAAAAATTTATTCTATATTCGATGGCGATTGCATCATCAAACTTGAATTGTTCTTAAGAAAACAGAAAAAGATTCATACCGTCAAGCAAATACAATTCGATCCATTCTTTGTTTTTTCTTTCGCGAAAAGTTGACTCTTCTTGACGCTTCTCGTGGATTGACTTATGTGTTATTTTCAACTATTTCGGAGAACTTTTTCTACATTTATTCAATTGATAGTGCTTTAAATGAGAGTCAAAGAACATGGGACGAGTATAGAAAGCCGAGTAGGTCAAAGCCGCGACTGCCTAGTCAGTGTTGAAGGTTTCATATCTCAGCTGTTCAGAGTTATGACCCTTCCTCGTGTTAGCTATAGCGAGTACTTAATCGATGCAGTCAAAAAATTTGGCCTTTTACCACACACCCAGTCGACTTTGAATAATCCCTAGTCGCTTTCTTTCTATCCATCACTGTATTACAGTTGCAGGAAAAGTTTCGTGAGTGATGGGTCAAAAGCATCAGCTTTTATCAACTCAATCAAATTTTAACTTCTCATCTTAATGCTTACTATTGTGGGAATTCTGCAAAAGAAAATCTCAAATACAAAACCTAATAAAACAATTTGATGACCATGAACTGAGTCCATCAAATGCTTTGTCTCACAACAAGAATCGCAATTGCTTTGCTTTATTTCTCTTGTAAATAATATGAAAATTTTAATACTAATAAATAATATAAACACGTGACCATTACGTCTACAATACTTTTAATATTAACCGCATATTGTTGCTAAAAGTCTACATAGCATTGTTTTTCAAAATTAATACTCGATGTTAGAACATAGATATATTTTCAATTATTTTTTACGGAACTACATTCCTATATTCGACGCATCAACCAGGGTTGTTATGATACGTATAAAACCTTTAAAAAAGATTGGTGGAAAGATCTATTTGAGAAATGGCGAATTTCAACCAGCCCGCTCCCGCCTCGAGGTAGGAAAGTCTAAAAGTATGTTAGAGCAAACACGCAGAAAATTTGTATAATAAATGTATCTTCCATTCTAAAAGGCGAAAATATATGCCAAAGTTCAAGTTGTATAAATCTTTTGATGTAGTCCTGCAAATCAAAAGATGTGAAAAAATAAAGAAAGAAAGAGAGAAAAGAGATTACAATTCAACGAATGCCAAGGTAAATTTCAAGAATTTTTTGATTTCTGCTAATTGTCTACATACGTATAGTGTAGCGAAAAAGAGGAAGAATATGAAGCTACGTTCAATTTTCTTCAACTCAAAGCTTTCAAGCGTCATTCATAAGGATGGCAGGGCTACATCTACATTTATGCTATCAGCTTAAGCGTAGGAAAGGCGAAACTTATGATATATGGCGATAGCTTTGTTTTCTTGCTATTTATATTTTTTTTTAAATTGGCAAAGTACTTAAGTGAATTATGGAATCAATTAAGCACGAACAATACCATGAGAATAGCACAATACATCAAATAATTAGCAATTTTAGAAAACAAGAATTTAACACAAAAGGCCTAATAATTCGCATTATTAGTAAAGCCTCGGATTTATAAATTTCTAAAATATATCTGCAAATATACGCTACCCAATGTTCCTATACACTCTTTACCAAGCGCGTGGCAATAGTAAAGTCATTATAACACTTGAATGCACATTCAATGTATACTGCAAAGCTTGGAAACAATATAATGGAGGCTTTTCATTGTACACATACAAAGTGAAAATCTCTAATGATTGAGCGAGCGGCAATCAATGATTTGATAAATCACTTGCACTTAAACATCTTTTCGTTTGCTAACGTGCATGCATATGGAATCCACATATGTTTGCGATTATTCGTATAATTTTCACTTTAATTAAAAACTAATATTGGTTTTCATAGTAAGTACAGAAACGATGAATAGCGTTTTAAACATTGCATACTTGTTTATCGTTGTTAGCATTTCCATCAAATATGATTTTCAAATTATCTGTTAATAATGTTTTGGATAGATAGCTCAATAAACAGTCACAAGAATATGAATTAAATGGATTTCGATACTAAGAATAAACTAAATATTATATAAAGTCCCGATTTCATGAGGCAGACTGGAAAGAAAACAAGTAAGAAAATTTTTCTATTCGGTTGCGATTGAGTCATTTACACCCACCACCGTTATGCTATAAAAGATTGACAAGGAGAAAAAAACATATAAATTTGCATAGCCTATAACATTGGATGGGCGTGGCTGAATTTTTCTGCTTTTATAGGGTAATTTTGTGGAAATTCATATAGTTTATCCGAAGAAAGTTTACAACACACATTACACACACGGACAGACGGGCATGCTTTACTCAATTTGATGATGATCACGAATATACGCACTTTGTGAGATCTCTGAAGCTTCCTGCTCGGCGTGGCAACAGTTCGACAAAATAATATACCCCTCGTCCTTCGGTGATGGGTATAAAAAGGAAAAGATGATAGACAGTGCATATATAAAGCGCGCTTTTTTGCCTACTCGGCATCCAAAGTGGAGTCGATTGTTTCAGCTAGACTTTGGAATTTAAAGACTACATTTGTCGAAAAGAGGTAATCGGTTGGACCACTCTTTGCGCATGGGGTTTATCGGATTGGACAACCTGACCCCGAGGTGCCAATAGTCCAGAACATAATGAATTGTCGGGATTACAGTTTTAGTCAACTTTTTGATCTACGGATTTTAAATGTACAAGAAGCAGGCATTGACCCAGCAATGGCAGCCGCACAATCACACTACTTCTTCTCTGGCTTCTTCATTGCTCAGCAAAGAAGGCCGCAACCAGACGATTTTCGACACAAGGGACAGGGACAATTTGTCCCTGGTTGGTTTTCCCTTGCCGGAAAGCGAGACTAATAGAAACTGATTTAACACAGTCCTCAAATATTCGAATAATTCAGCTCATCTTTCCCCGGTTTTGTGCTTAAGTTGCTTTCCTGAAAGATCTTCCAAAGAGTCTTTTGTAGATGTCATAACGTTTGTCTTTGAATAAACTCGTCTACCATGTAAAAATATATGAATGTTAAAGAACATAGAAACCTACTAAATGGGAAGTGAGCCCTTTATCCGTAACCAACAAATATATTTAAATCTAAACACTTAATAAAGGTATCAAGTATTAATTTTCCGACAGAATTATTTTTGCTGCAAGGAGAATGTTTATCGCAGGCAAATAGACAGACTCCGAGGACAGACGGTTAGAGGGACAGGTGAACGAATAAACATGCTTACTGCATGGATTCAAATTTTCGGGCTGGTACCTGCTTTATCGAAATTCATTGAAAATATGAAAAGCATTTATAATAAATTTTGGTGAAAAAATGCCATCAAGTTTTTCCTTCACCTAATAACAAGTTATTGAGCATCCTCAACAAGAAAGTCTATCTCCAAAAATGAAAATATTGTTATTCCTCTTGAAATGAAGGAGAAGGATTTATAATGGTATGGTGTATACAATATACCTGAGAATTTGTTTTTGTTGCGCCTTCGATAATCGTCGAACAAAACGAGAAAACACTTATTGATCATTTATTAGATTTAATGTAGCTATAAATAAAAGAAGATATTCATGAAATCTAATCAATTTTAATATATAAAATAAACCTGTTTCATTGCAAGTACAAAGTAATAGGTGTCTAGTACGAAACATTCTCAGTCACCTCAGTTAGAAAAACCTCAGACGAAGAAAACCACGATTTTCAGAAGCCTACTTAAAAATGTAACACATACAGTGGTTACATATCACGTGAATTTTGTTTTTGCTTTAAGCAGCAGAGACCATACCAGAAAAGCCCGCTCCATTGACACACAACATCCATTAAAGCACGAAATTTAGTACAGGCGTCCATAATAGTGAGGGACCTAACAGGCGACATAAAGCAATCCGATATAGAAAATATATTTCTAACTGTAAATATTGACAACTAATTGTCATTTATTGTCTTTAAAACACATTCACAAGCGTCTCAATTAGTCTTATTTATAGTCACACTCGGCGTCGTTGGGAAAAATATTTAGCTTCGTCTGATGGACATCGTTCTGACTCTCGTTCATCGTCATAAGTCTTGCGGTTAAATTTTAAAATGGCCGAAAATTGTTCGCGGAAAATCAACTCTTGAAACCTTTCAGCCAATTCGGCGCAACATAATGGTTCCCCAGGATTCTCTCGATAACACGCAATCAGTTCATTCCGTAACATTACAATTTCACCTTCAATGTTGTTAGTCCATTCGAGCGGTTTGCCAAATTCATTTTCACATTTTTCTTTGGTTTTTTCAAATTGTTGTTCTTCCAACTCGTTAAATGCACGATCCAATAAAACATCAGATTTATGGGTCCATTCGTCAAGATTACGCTTATAGTGCTGATTGTTCTTATATGGATGTTGGTTCAACTGCCCCTGCTGTCGATGTTTTTGCTTCTGTTGGTATAGCTGCTGTTCTTGTTGCTGCTGTTCCTTCTCCGGCATTTTTCTATCCGACTTATTTTCACTTTGCCTCTGAGCATTTTCCAAACGTGTTACAACTGACGGGGATACTTCTACTGATTCTCGCCTCTCCGGATTTCGGATGCGTATTATTTGTGGGATGGAGTTATTGGCGCCCATTTACAAACTTTTATATATGTAAAATGATTTTTTTTAAAATAAAATTTTGAAGTGAAGGCTAACTTAAATTATTGAATTTTTTAAAAATAATTCTGATAGATTTCATTTGCTTGGAAACAGAATAAAAATTTTATACAAGAAAGTTAGTAAATACAAGTCTTTGAATCATGATAGTCCATACACCCATAATAACAGTTCTGGAACTGTAAAGTAATCTTTTCATCTTCTCAAACAGTGGTTGAAGAACAAGCAATTGCTAACTTACTACTCAATTTCTGTAGAAGTGTACGACGAAAACGTTTAAAAGAGAAGTAAAAATGTAAAGACCAAACTTGACAACTTGACAGCATCATCCCGAATAATCTCGCATAATCACTTACTGCCTCAATTATCACTTGTCGAATGTAGACTTGTAGTTTTGAAACTTCGAAACTCGGGGGACGAGAGTAAAAGAAACAAAAAACGAAATGAAAACACTATAGTGAAGCATGACCCACCATTAAATACACTGGACCACATCGCATTATGCAGTTATTCGCATAACGACTTTTAGAAGATAACACACTATATGTGATCAAGCCGAAAAAGTGGTCCGATCGGAACGACTTTCATTAGCATTCGTTCTTGGCCCGACACGAACCGAGGTGCGAAATCCGATCGGCACTCAAGAAAAAAAAACGGACAGACGGACACACGAGCTAAAATTATTTTATTGATGGCTCGGGGCAGATTGTACGTCCATAAATGACTTAAGACGTTGTTGTACCGCATATTGTGTAGGGTAAAAATAGAAATAAAAAAGTCACACCAGTAGTGATTATTATGCTCAACACACGTACTCACAATAAAAAGTACTACTCGTACTTTTCACTGTCTGCATTATCACTTGAAGGATAGCACCACTGTAACCGTCTGAAAAATACAGCTTTTCGACAGAAGGAAAGTTAATGAAATAGTCATACTGAAGAAGGTTCCTTAAGTATGTCTTCAAGAGCCAGAAGAAAAATTTGTTCAAATTTAAATCAAAAAAAAAAGAAAATTATAATAAGAGACGTATTGTGCCACGATGACGACGTCATGCGCTCATATACAAGAAAGGTTGCTTAGGAACTCAAAAAAACTGTCTCATAGTCTGCTGAATGTTGAATATGTTTAGTAAAGTTTTTAATGAAAAAATTAATTAGTTCTGGATTTTTTTGCAAAGGATTTTTGTGTTTGTCACATTAATTTCTTTTCTAATTCATGACATAAAATATTCGGTGAAAAAGAAAATGTTTTGAAATGCCGCAAAGAAACATACTTTGTGGAAGAGAAAAAAAAAAGAGGAAAGGAGTTAAATAAAATTTTTGTTTCCACCACCAGAGGAAAGGGAAAGATTCATTTTGTCAAAGAGTGTGCAACACCCAAACGGAGGCTTAAGAGGCTCCATAATGTATACATCTTTTCCATCAAAATCAAATTATGTATCAATTTAAGTATGTTCATCTGTCCATATGTCCAACTGCTCGTCTGCTCGTCTGTCCGTGCTCTCATCTCTCCGTATGTTCATCTCTCCATCTTTCTATCTGTTCGCCTGTCCGTCCTTTCGTTTGTGTAACGCGTGGGGCACACATTCTCTTGGCCGCAGATCTGAACAAATTTAGTTCAAGTTTGTCGAGTACATTGGAAGTTTTTGCTTGCAGGCTGGTATTGTAAAGGCCAAAGCGTTTAAAGGGTACGCCTACAATACAAAATGAACCAAGTGATTTTTTTTCGATTTAAAACTTCCTTAGATAAAAATTGCTCCTCATATTTCACAAACATGACTAAAATCAACATGAGCTCATCCAATATCATAGGATACGAAAAATTAATTTATTCTTTATTTTCTTTTGGTCATTTTTAAGAAGAAATTGATGCATATAAAAAATTCGGTCATAGCCGAGTATAATTTTCTTAAATCTCTTTTAGTGCAATTCTTTGGTTTTGACAAACATGTCGGGTCATGTTTACAACAAGTGCTTTTCTTATGGCATTTGCTTTAATTTCTTTGCTTCTTTTGTGCGTTCATTCAACATAGTTAAGTAACATAGTTAGTAAGCATCATATTGAGCTTTCGGATGTCGGTTTGTGTGTTTAATTGTTTGACATTTCAACATTACGTACAATCGGTCTAAGATTTAATTCGCTTTAGAGGTTACATCGGTATCGAACGGTAAAAAAAGCATATTTTTTCCAATTTTTTTGTAATTTAATAAATAAATCGTTTTATTCAAACTTGTAAGCGTATGAAAGGGAAATATTTAAACAATATTTTATAATATTTTCATTTAAGAATTTTGCATATATACTAGTGGTGGGCAGGATAACTCGTGATAGCTTTATTTGAATAAAAAAAATTAAATATTTTGTGTTAGAAGGTGAGTGGGCAAACTATCTCCTTACCTTAAAAATGGAATTCTACTAAAGGACGGTATGCCTGCTACAGTACAAGCAGTTCGTGCCTCCAATGACTGGATTTTCCGAGGAACTCCTCTCCTACAGGTTTACTCCGATTACTTGAAACTTTGGAAACATATTTTTGAAATGTTTTCACATGTCTCCTAATCCGCATATTTGTCCTCCAGCCTATCCACCTGCATAGTGTCTGTGGCAAACATGCTCCTAGCCACAAAGAAAAGTTCTTGGACACAGGCGTGAACGCAGATTTAATTGGTGACGGGACACTTTAGAGGGTGTAATCAGAAAAGACAAGACTATAAAAACGTGCACGCCTTCTACGCTAAAACTCAGCTACACCTATACAATTTTATGGAGTATTGAAGTTTTTCTTTTTTTATGTTTCAAGAAAAAAAGCTATAGATATAAATGATTCGACGACAGTCGAATATAATCATCGTTTTGTTATTTTACTTAGAAATATCGTTCGGAAAAGCCACGACTCTGGGCGCTAGCTTTCATTTTCGTTTTCAACTATTTAACAAAAACAGCTGAAGACGAAATCGAAAGTTAAATTTTATATTCATGACAATGCCCCTGGTCACCGCTTTTCATGATCGCAAGTATCGGAAAAAAAGTAGAAACTGAACTTAAGTTTAAATTTTTAGTTAGTACCCGCAAACGAGAACAAGCATTATTTGCCAAGAAATGAACTGACAATTACTAAAAAAATCGCAAAGCGTAAATATTCTCGAAAAAAAATCCCTCTGGCGTTCGAATATTTACAGAGGCTCGATTACCTGCCACATCCACAACTAACGGTAACTTTTGCATTATTTACTGTCAATTGTAGTTACACTGACTCTTCAATGGCCCAAGGATCATCATTATTACGCTGCAGCATATATTCATTTTCACTTCGTGTACGTTTGAGACTTATGTATTGTTTCAATTAAGTGAAGTACTCTTGTAGTTTTTAATATTTCCCCATGGCCACGATTTGTTAAAGAGACTGTAACAAAAATGTTGTAAAATGAAATGTTAATCGCGCACAAGTTAAGCAGGCACTACTACCTACTCAAGTGCTTATATGAATGTTTGTATTTTCATGTAAAATGTATGTGGAAACAATTGAAAACACTAGCATGCTAAATACCCTACATCGCTTCACTTAATAACAACTTCTCAAAATAAGTGAATTGGAAAGTGGTCGAAGAAATGGTCCGATTGGAATATTTTCAATAGCATTCATCCTTCGTCGCAATATCTCGAAAATTTGCGGCCTGAAGATTAAACAAGGAGAAGTAAGGTGGGCAGAGGTACAGATAAGCAGCGGGGATCATTGCATACATCCGCAAAAACTAAACATGCCATTGCACCAAAAGTGGTATATAAATGAGTAAGAAGGTAGGCTGTCGACGAATTCGTTAGGCCCGCCATCATATCCTAAAAAAAAAAGAACCAAAAGTGAAGAAGTTATAGGTAAGGCAGTGCGTAAAAATTATTATATATTTTTCTTTATGTTCTGAGCCACATCTTCTGCCGACAAAAACCTTGCCAATCCAACTTATTCTTGAAGCTCGGAGGACAATAGCGAACCCATTGGGTGTCAAATTAAGACTGTATTGCGGGTGACTTCTATATTCGATTTTTCGGGTGGTTAAGTAAACGCTTAGTGCCATAAATTCATTCCAAAGCGATTATTAATGCCTTCCTCGCTATATATTTCTTTACGGTACTTTTCTTGGTTTTGACATGGATTCCTTGTGCGTTTTACTTATATTAACTACTCTTTGCTTTGCTTACTGCTCTTTTAACATGCGTCCTCATTGCTGTCAAAGAATTACGCGTTTCCCCTTTGCTTTTACATGCTTTTATCGTTGTCTTTGACGCTTTAAAAATGATTTTTTTCTTATGCTGATCGTAGGAATTTCTAATGCTACTACACGTATGCATTTTCTTTGCATCACATCTTCAAAGATGATTTTTCTTTGCTTTTTTTGTGTTGCAGTGTTAATGTAATTCAATAAAAACTTCAACAAACTAAATATGACTGAGATAAGGATTCTATAGCAAACAGTTTTAAAAAAATTAAAAACTCAATACATCTTAGATACGGACGGCAAAAACATAGGAGAGGTTGACAGCTAGGAGCCTAAGAATTGCCAAGAAGTCTGATTTTTGTATTTTAATATAATTTTCGCAATTGAAACTTTTTTTGGGTAGCACAATCAGTCAAGTTTAATCGTTGAAGTCTTAGCCTGTTGCGATCGACCATCAATGTCAAGCGGCGAGAAAATATTTTCGAAACCAAGGCAACGCAAAGAGACACTTCTTTCACGTGCCGCAGAAACCTTTGCAATTTATATCATCCTACGAAAAATGCACGGCTCGAAACTAATGTTCCTGGGGATGCACCTGCCAGGTACGATATCCTATTTTCATAATTTCGTATACTTATAATTTATCGCGTAGCAAGAGACAAACTAGAGCCAAGCGACCTCATGACACAGTTCATGGCGAGTCCAGAAATCGCAAACAGAGTCCATTTTGAAGCACTTCTTATACAATTGCCCCATTAT